GGGAGGTGTCCCTGCCCATGGGAGGGTTGGGAGTAGATGATCTTTAAGGTCTATTCCAACCCTTAACATTGTGTGATTCCATGTTTCCTGAGGATTTCAGTTAACGCTCCTCCATCAGCACTTCTCTTTTGAACCTGTAGGGTGAAATGTGCAGTCTCCTTCCCAAATTTGGAAGGGTTCTCTCTCTCTCTCTTGGAGCTGGCTGCCAAGGAGGGGAGGAAGCTGCCTGGCTCCTGGGAATGTCTGGGGGGTGCTGGGGCTGTGCTCTCCATCCTCGAGCTCGTCGCTCCAGCTCCTGACCTGTGCACTGTGCCCGGCAGGTTACCCGCGCTACCTGGTGGTAGGAGACCATCTGTCGGGACAGCACCACTTGAAAATCCTGAGGGCTGATCTCCAGGATGACGCCGTGTACGAGTGCCAGGCCATCCAGGCTGCCATCCGATCCCGACCTGCCCGGCTGACCGTCCTGGGTGAGTCTCCCCGTCACTCCAGGGGGGATTTTTGTCCTGGTGGTCGCCCCGGGAGGCTTTGGGACAGAAGGTGTTGTTGCTCAATCAAGAGGAAATGGGAATGAATTCGTGGAAATTAATCCATGGTGAGAGCAGTGGGGGTGCAGCTCAGTCCTGAGAACGGGAGCAAGGGAAGCTGTTCAGGGAGTGAAGCACTTCAGGGATGGAGCACAGCAATCCTGGGATGAGTAACAGAGGCACCAAGTGTTTGGCACTTCAGCTCTGTGAATTTACACGCCAGCTGGAGAGTGCATGTCCATAAATTTAAGGATATGTAGAGTGTCAGTGTCATCACAATGATGCCCTTCCTGCAGCACTGCTCTGCAGCAGGACCAGGATGAATCCACCACTGGAGGAAAGGCTGGTTCCTCACTACTGCAGTATTTTCATCCTATCTTCATATTAATATTCGATCATCCTGCATTTCTCAGGAATTAATCCTTCCCATGAGCAGCACAGGAGGGTGTTGCATGGGATTGCAAACTAGGAGTGGCTCCCAAAATCTTATAAAGACTCTTTATGGGTGGGAGATGGGAGAGGAGCTCTGGCAGATCCAGAGGGCCCTGTTGGCAGCTGGTGCAGGGGGGTCTCCTCCCAGGAGTGCTGGGAAAAGGCTGCGTCAGCGAGGCTTCCCGGAACGCACGAGGCTTCCCGGAACGCACGAGGCTTCCGAGAAGTTAATGAAAATGAGATTTTTCTTGAAAAGCTTGGACAAAACCCAGCCTGTACTGCTGCTCCCAGATCCATCCTGATTATTCAACCCTCAAAGTTGAAACCATTTGCATACTGAAGTTTCTTTAAATTGAAGTTTGGATTTAGTTTTTTTTTTGCTGTTGGTTGGTTTGGGTTTTTTTTTTTTCCCCTGGGTAATTTCCAAGGGAAAAAGAAAAGCTTTTAAAAAGATGCAAGATTTTCAGTGCTTTTAGTCAGATCAGCACTAATTAGTTTTAAGCAGCCAAAAGAAGTGAGTTAAGGTACTGGCGATGGTTGAAGGTTCACCTCATCAGAGCCTGCACCTCCCCACAAAAACAAGTTCTAATTTTGGGGTTGCAGTTTCCCCTGTGCCTGTTTTTCTCTCTCCACAACTCTCCAACATTCCCTACCCCTGAACTTACACAGCTGCCATCCCTTCCTTCCCTGACCCCCACCATAATGATGATTTTCCTTTGATCCCTCCTTCTGCTCAATCAACCCCTGGCAGCAGCTCCGAGCTCTGACATGTGCCCACACATGAAAGAATCCCGGGAATGAGCCGGAGAGCGGGAACGTTGCCTTGCTCTCCGACAGCCCCTCCTTCACCCGGGCTCCCTCCTCCTGTTGTCAAAGTTGCCAGAGCCCAGACAAAAGAAATAATGTTATTTAATTAGAGCTAAAGATTTCAAAACTAATTTAGTCCCAGGGCGTACGTCAGAGCCGCCGCGAAGCGTTGATTGAGCAGAGAGATGTTTTTATGGATCAAAAGGAAATCGTTATTATCTTTGGGGTTATGGAATGTGTTGAATAGATGGTAGTTAATGTTTATGTGGATATACATGGTAGTTGCTAATTGGTACATTTACCTAAGATGTTCAGCAACTTATATTTGCAGAGTGTTTTCCTTTTAAGAAAATTAAAGTTACAGCATGTTCAGCTTAGGCCGAACTGGTGAGAAAATGGGGGTTTGGAACCCACTGGTGGCTCATCTTTCACTTTAGGTGTATTTATGCAGATGTTCTGGTGGGGAAAAAATGGTCATGACCCCAAGGCTGCCAGAGTTCAAGGAGTGTTTGGACAACATTCTCAGGCACAGGGTGGGATTGTTGGGGTGTCCCTGCAGGGCCAGGAGTTGGACTCGATGATCCTTGTGGATCCCTTCCAGTTTGGGCAATTCTGTGATTACATGAAATTTAGGGGGATTGGGGAGGTAGGAGGGATCATCCCATGCTTAGAGAGGGGCCGGGAGGTGGTTGGTGACCAGCAGCTCCCACTGTGCCACCTTTGGGGTGGGACAGTGTGTCCTGCAGCGCCGGCAGCGAGGGCAAAGCTGCCACGGGGAGGGGTCTGTGCTCTGTTTTAACCACCCCGGTGGAGGGGATAGAAATGGCACAGGAGGGGCAGGTGCCTCAACAGGCCGTGTTTTGGGAGCCAGCACTGGCTCTTGCAGCCGGTGCAATGTGCAGCCTGTCAGGCTGAACTCGCTGCGTGTCGCGTTTGTACAGAGCAAGGGAGGGACATTTCCGGCGGTTCCAGATGTGCAGTGCCACCAGCTGTGCACACACTGCTCCTCTTAGGAGCTGGTGCACAAGCCTATTTAGCTGTGAGCCAGGCAGCTGCTCCAGAGGGGTGTGGATCTCCCAGGTTTCCTCTCGCTGGGTTGGTAAGGGATGTGCCAAGGCTGCCTGCGCTGCCTCAATGGAAGATGCTTGTGGGGTGTTCCTTCATCCCTGTGTGCCCAGTTTCACCTGAGACTGCAGACATCACCTGAGCATCCCCGGATCTGGGACAGCTCTCAAGGAAAGGATTTGTCACAGACAGGGCAGAGCTGGGAGGGGCTGGTGACTGGGAGGGGCTGGTGACTGGGAGCCTGATTGCTGCTGGTTTGCCAACGACTCGAGGGGCTCATCAGCCAAGCTGGGTGTTGGAGGCAGTTTTGGGGAGCCCCATCCTGCTCCATCACCCCCAGCCTCATCTCTGGAAAATACCTTGCCTGTTATTTTTGCATGGGTTGGTGCTGCCTTGTCTATTCTTGCCAGCTTTTCCACTTCCTTGGTATCAAGATATCCCCTAATGCCTCCCAATCCGAGCACCAACTGCTGTCATTCATGTCTGACAACAGCTTTATGGGGCTGATGTCTCCTACTTCCCTGCTCAGATGCAGAGCTACACCATATTTTAATTAAATATTTAAGGTTTTGTCACATTGTTTTCAAATCTACATGGTTAAATGTAGTGGAACAGATCATTCCATAGCCTTGGAAGTCCAAACATTCGAATGGATGAGCCTATTAGTGTCATCAGCATCAGGGAAAAGCTTTTCTTTGTGGAGTCACAGCGACAAATATTCCTTGGGAATGTGGCTACAACCCATCCCAAAGCTGGAGGGCCCCCCTTCTCCGGTTCTCCCTCACCTTCCTGCTACCATTACCCAAACTGTCTGGGGAAGGAGTCACTGCCCAATGTTCTTGGGATCTCTGCCCCAGCAGGGAAGGCTGACAAAGCTGATGGGATGAGATTTGAGAGATATGGCAGCATCCATGTTTTCTGCAAGCAAAGGATGTCAAGGCAGTTTGACAGGGGAGCCCAAACCAGGGAGGCTTTGGGAAGCCACAGGAGGGCTATTTGCTACCTGGTACATCTTTTATGGCAGGGCTGCTTAATTTATGATCTATTTAACTAAGCCGGGGTATTAATTAAATAAAGTAAGAGCCTGATTAGGACCCGGAGAAATTTAAAAATAAAATCAGGCAGCAATCGAGCGAAATTGCAAAGCAAACACTTTGGCTGTAACCACTGGAGAGCTCCCTCTGGTCTTCCATCAAAGCTCCGAGCAGGGAGGGCAAATACAAGGGATTACATTGCCAGCAGATGTGTGTTGTTAAAATATGCATCTGCCAGCCGAGGAGCTGCAGGAGCCGCAGGGCTCGCTCGTGGATCCCCCCCCACTCGGGGGACCGGGAAGGAATTTGAGGCCCCTCCAGCCGAGCTGGGATTTGCAGACCCGTTAATTAGTGTTGAGTTCCCAGATCTCGGAGGCAGCCGAGAGAGGAGCAACTGTGAAGAGAGCACTGGCTTCCCCTGGAGGGAGCAGAGGGGAAGGGAGAGGAGAGCACGGGCTCATGGACCCTCAGTGACCGGGCTGGGCAGGACCCGCCGTGCTGGGAGGATGGAGGAGGCCAGGGAGAGTGGAGCAGGTGGATGATGAGCTGTTGGAAGCTGGATGGTTCCTCTCCTTCACTGGTGCCTTGGCAGGAGCATCCCGGGCCTGTCCTGGTCTGTCCTCCCAGCAGGAGATGTGACACCTCCAGCCCTGCCACGCGCACAGACTGTCCCGGGAAGCTCTTGCTTGTCACGGGGAAAAGGTTGGTGCCAGAGGTGCCAGTGGGAACTTGGTGGCAACCAGGAAAATGGGATATGAGGGTGTGAGGAGGGAGGCAGGGTTGCTACTTCCAGAGGCTTGAGGTGAATAATTGATAGGCAATTAACTTGTACCTTCACCTTTTATAGTCTAATTCCCTCCCTCCTCCCCCTCCATGGCCTCTTCTAATATTAACTCTGCCTTCACTTGTGTCCCATTAGGAATAAAGCTTTCTTAAATCAACATGAATTATTTAACTCTACAGATTAAGTTAATTTGGAGCCAGAGCTCCTGTCTCTGACAATGGCACAAGTCAGGGATGGGAGAAAAGGAGGGTCACTGGGGTGTCAAGTGCAAACACGTTCAATCACAACCATTTCCCTCTTTTTATTTCATTTTTTATTTTATTCCAATCCTCGTCCTTGCCAAGTCTTCCCAGTGCTGCCCTGCAGAGCAGAGGAAGCATTTCCATTAACAAAACGATGGCTGGCAGCTTGAGACATCTGCATTTCCCAGCTTTCCTGCTCTTTAGCAGAGTCTGATCAGGAAATAAAGAGGTTATGGCCTGGGAAAGGCCATTTTTCAGTATTTGTTTGTAATGCTGATCTGCAAGGAGGAAATGTAACGAGGTGATGTTTCAAATCCAGAAACTGTTCAGCTTGGAACCTTTTCTCCACACTTTTTAATAGAACTCAATTCTCTGAATGCAAAATTCAGAGCATGTAGAGCCGGGATGTCAATTCAGAACAAAAAAAAAAAGAAGTGATGAAAATGTGATCATTTTCTTCCAGACAGTCTCTTCTCCTTGAACAAGTTTGGGCCTTCACAAAGCTGCATTTTCTGCTGGGAATATTTTCAGTGGCAAAACAGCAACCGGCTCTGCTGGGAATGAAACAGAAACATCAAA